CCCCTTAAGCAATTATTCGAAGGGAATCGGAGATCTTTTTCCGATAAGATGACACTCGGTTCTATATTGGACTACAATGTTTGCGTGGGTATACTCATTCGTGGATCTCAACGACGTACTACGCGATCTTAACTGGCTGCTTTCACATACATTCCATTATCATACATTATCATACATTAACTTTGACCTCTTGATCGCGACGAGCGTGTAGACAAACTTACCAGTTGGCGTACGATTTGCCATCGGTGCTGGTAATCATACATGCGGAGGTTGGGTTGGAGGAATATATTTACTCGATGATTGGTCCGTGTCATTAAATCAAAAGCAACTCACAAATTGGAGAAATCTTTCTTGATTTTAGTAGAAACTGTCAATTTGGAGATGGATTTCATTTCAGGTAAAACGTTGGGTTACCATTTGCTACTGGAAGTCGAACAATATTCGCAAACTTGAATAAAGAACACGGAAAGTGTTACATTTTTTTAATTGGAATTGAAATCAGCGGTACAAAGTATAATTTATCCACTCTTCTAATTATTACCGAAAAGTCAAGTTATTATGTATACTTTCGGTCTAAACAATTCTTTGTCTTCAATACAAATCATCAATTGTTTCGACAAATTTATATACATCCATTATTCCAAATGTAGAATAGTTAAGTTTATTTAGTTTGATGATAACAAGATTAGAAGTTCTATTTGTTTCTTTTTCACCATAAACGTAAATATTTTAGAAATAATCTGCCTAAACATAATTTCATAGTTCCAAATTTCGTGAACCAACCACCGTAACAATAATCCTGCACCTTATATCATGGTATTCAAACTTTGACACCTTTCAGCAGTATGTATTTTACGAAATCAAATTTTCTTTCAATTATACCAAAGATACTCTACTAGACATTGTAACTGTCCGTTAGGCATCTAATTTACATCCAAACTCACCAGACACAACCTCCACGCCTAAAGCTGGTCTACAGCTGGATCAACAATCGAATCAATCCAGCTCCAAAAAGACAAATACCGCTCAAACTTATAAAATTCCTCTCGACAAAAATCTCGTCGGAATTTATTCGCGGGCAAAAAATGACTAATCAGCCGAAGATAGACTACCGACAATGATCAAAACGAAATTGTTGGAACCGTTTCATGTACGAGTCGTCCATTTGGCGAAGTGATTAACTTTACAAAAATTATCAAGGAAACGTATTTCAAATATGAAAAGCTAAGCATGAACCCAGTTCATTGGTACTAAAATTCAAGAAATTTAAAAAGTAGAGTTAGTCACTATAACCTACGGTTCGGCGCATATGCCCGTGTCAGCGTGAAGCTTCGTCATCGTAAAGAGAAGAGGAGAGCATGGCGAAAAACGATTGAATCAGACTCACGCATAACACGCAGCTCCAATCCTGAGAAAAAGAGAATTTTAAAGATTCTAAATTAATAGTTTTAGAAAAATTCGAAGAAGTATAATAGATTAAACACCCATCAAGTGTGTTGGTATTGAAATGTAAAAAAATTTAGAAAGTGGGAGTTAGTCACTTTGGCCTGTGGTACAGCTCACATACCCGCCTCATCTTCGAGTCCGCGCGAGGAGGAAAAGAGAAGAACGAGGCAAAAAGCGGTTAGAGCAGATTCGAGTATAACAGGCAGCTCCAATCCTGAGAAAAAGAGCATTTAAAAATTTCTAAATTCATAGTTTTAGAAGAATTCTAAGAAGGAATTGTATTCCAAATATAAAAGGTTTAGCACCAATCAAGCGTGTTGGTACTGAAATGTAAAAAAAATGTTAAAAGTGGGAGTTAGTCACTTTGGCCTGTGGTACGGCCCTCATACCCGCGTCATCTTCGAGTCCGCGGGAGGAGGAGAAGAGGAGAACGAGGCAAAAAGCGGTTAGAGCAGACTCGCGCGTAACACGCAGCTCCGATTAGGCCCCACCGCCGTTAGGCAGCCTAACCAACCGGGATACGCCCAGCCACGCTTATTACTCATTCGGACACGCCACTTTATTCGAGCGTGCGCCGTGTGCTTACCTTGCGCTACCAGTAGCACCGGACGTGGCTCCTGCACAATGGCCGCGCCACACCACGCGATTGGACCCCGGGGGCCTTTTTTATTGCTGCCTCTCCACTCCGCGGGACCACTCTTTTTGACTACTGGTCAAGAACTGAGCCACTTCACGTGCTGCTTTCGTTTGGTCACGCTTCTTTTTGATTGATCCTCATCCTTCCGTGGTGAAATGGTTGGAGGGCAAAACTAACATCGTTGAAGGCTCTTGTAATTATACAGCTTCGGGCACTATGTTTTTTTATTCCGGCTTCGTTTTATAAACTTATCGGTTGTTCTATTTTTTTTTCTTTTGTAGTGTGCGTGGTAGTTAGGGGTAGGGACATTGAGATGATGGATTGCTTTGATTGCTTGGTCTATCAGATCGGAAAATTTTCTTAATGAACTGAGAATGGGTTTTGTGGACTTACGTCCTTGATTTAAGTAAATGTGCGATTTTTATTAATGCCTCTCCAAATCGAGGGTTCACTTTTTTTGCCTGCTGGTCAAAAAGTGAGCCTTTTCACGTGCTGTCTTTGTTTGGTCGCGCTGCTTTTTGATTGAGCATCCTTCTGTCATAGGAAGTCTCAACTATCGCTGAAAGCTCTTAAGATTTTCTAAATTCTAGTTTGGCGTTGTGTATTTTTCGGTCGAGTTTTATTTTTTGTGGCGTTCGTAGCAGTGAGGGATAGGGATATTGAGATCGTAATAGCATTGCTTTGAATATTCGGTATATTTGATCGAAGAATTTTTTAATGAAGGAGATTTTTCGATTTACATCTTTGATTTAAGTAATTTTAACGATAAGTGTTAATATTACAAATGTGTAAATGTTTTCAGAAGTTGACATTGTTGTGTGAGTAAATCGTATCCACATTTGTGAAGTCTAGTTTCCTGAGGCACTGATTTCGAAAAAATTGTAGAAATCGGTCACTTATGAATGCATCATCTTTCAGTACACAGTGTTCGACGTTATAGTGTTTAAAAATTGTTCCGGCCATCGCGCAAATATTTATAAAACTCGAGTAATAAGTGACATATTCCATTTTTGTGTTATGTAAATGTTTCTAATATTATGCGTAACGGTCATAGTTGTCAATTTTTCAATCTTTCCGTAATACTAAAAATTCTTTCATAGTAGGTTAACTTCGATGCATTTCACGTTTTTCGAATAACTTCTTTCGTATTATGTTTTCACTCCTATTTTGGTACTTTGAAATCTTCTCACGTTAATCACTTGTATTCATATAGAAATTGTTATATATAATTACATGATGCAAATGATATAATTGCATTTCAGGCCTAATTGTCGAAATTGATATTTTTTCATTTAATGAAATTACTGTAACACAGTCGCGAAGCCATACTCGATATAAAAATAATTACGTATTTTGTATTGAAGATTGTAGTCCGAGGATATTGTAATTGTAAACGGAAATTTAGCTAGACCACAGTAATCGAGAAATCGTATTTTCATTTTCTATTCATCAATTTGAATCACCTAATCATTATTTACAACTGTTTGCCTAACGCGACGTAAATATAAATCGTCCCTTATTTCCTTAAACTATTAAGATCAAAATTTCAATCGCCTCAGACAATATTGTGATTCTTTTTTATTCAAAATGAATTAATTAGTACCTCAAAGTTGAATTATCTTACGGCATTAAAAAATGAGGGAAAAGACTTCATCAACCCATTCCAATTTCAGTGGCATTTAAAAAACCAAGCTTACTGCAAAAAACTCAAGTTTCAATTTCTCCGAATGTTATTGAAGCAATGTTATGCTTGCTGGAAGAATCAATCGGGAGTTAATATATGAGGTATACCAATAAGTAATTCACTATAGGTCCAATACAGTGGCAATACATTTTAGATTCAAAATATGTTTCCAATCTTCTGTTTAGTCAAAATGGCAAAGGCTGATGGGAACAAATAACGAACATGTATTTTTAAAATAGACTGGGCATTTGAATTATTTCAGAACTAATATAGATTTTAACAAAAATTAGTGGATTACTTATTGCTAGATACATCTAACGCTTATTTCGGACAGTGAGATGAAAGAACCGCTATAAACATGAAGTTTAAAGTATCTTGGCCTTACTTCAGATTCACCTGACTTCTTTCAATTCTGTTTGACTTCGACACTTTCTGTGTTTCCATTCGATATCAACAGTTATTTAACACTGACAGAAACTTCAACATTGCAAAAAAGGTTAATTAAAATACGATTATAGATGTGGGGTCTTTCCCAGAACCACACTATAGGGTAAAACTAGTTAATACGTCCTAGTTGACAAAATGCCACACTATTATTTGATTTGTAATCCAAAATCTTTGTATATTCCTTGCAGATACATAATAACGGCAATTATACTTTAGCAGCGTTTCAAAACGACTGCGGCAGGTTCGAATGTGTCGTTTGTAGCGATCCACCTTTGTGTGCGTATAACAATAGTGATACATTTTGTCAACCAGGATGTACTACCCAGTTTTACCCTGTCTCATCCACCAATATCGAGAAGACCGATTACGGGAACCCAGAGTCTAAATCTGAAGTCATCGGTACCACCCGGCGGCGACCAAGCGATCGCCGTGGATCGAACCGAAAATCAATGCCCCTTTATTTCCCCACAGGTAGAAAGCGACAGAGAGGTGTACGAGTCGTCTTCGCGCGAGGAGGTACAGCCAGTGATCTCACTCCCAGAAGTTAGCCGGTCGGGACTAGGTTTTGCGCGGGAGGAGAAGAGCGACAACGAGCAGCAAGAGAGGGATATACCAGAGAGGATCCCCTGTGGAAAGAGAAACAGAGATAAAGAGAGAGAGAGAGAGAGATACAGACCGGCAAGAACCGAGTGTGAGAGAGAGAGAGAGAGAGAGAGAGAGAGAGAGAGAGAGAGAGAGACAGAGAAAGAGAGAGATTGAGAGAGACGGCCTGTTGGCTGAAATCCCGGTGGGAGGTAGTGACTCGAGGCGTTAGCAGGACCGCGAGAGAGGAGGTAGAGGGAAAGGAGACAGAGAGTCGACCAAGAGAAGGAGCGGTGGGAATTTATAAGGATGTTCGCGATAATGCCGATGGAGACAGAGGGGCACGGCAGGGAGTTCGGCCGCCGGCAGAAGATGCGCGCCAAGTGCACGGTAGAGTTCGTCTGCAAGTACTGCCAGCGGCGCTTCACGAAGCCCTACAACCTCATGATACACGAGCGCAGCCATAAGGACGACGTGACCTTCACTTGCGAGGTCTGCGGAAAGTCCTTCAAGCGGCAGGACAACCTCAAACAGCACAGGTACAATTTTCACGGAATATTCTATCGCGCGTAACGGATACGTTTCGTCTATGGAAAATTGTCGAGCCTCTCTCCTGATTCGCCGCTCGGCGACGGAACTGATACGACCCGGAGTCGATTCGCGACGGCCAGACATTGATCGGGCAGGAATATCTTTCTTCTTCTATTTTTCTTTCGTATGTGCGCGGGTTAATAGTGCAGCCCCTTTTCGCCCGACCCCCTCTCCACTCCCGTTATTCTTCTCTGGTTCGATCGAGGACTTTGGTGGGCCTTTTCCTCGACCCTTGTTCGCGCGCACACGCGAACCCAGTGATGGTTATGAATGAATCCGTCGCGGGAACCGAAAAGGTCATACTGTGCTCGCATCCCGACAGGTTTCGACGAATCCTGCGACTACGTCGACGGATGATAGATCGAAAGTGAAGTTCAATGGTGGCCGTGCCGCGGGGCACGAAACTCCTGTCAATGTCTGGCGTCGATCACGAAGCCGATTTTCGGGGCTGGGCCCAATCCGCTCGTTACCGGCTCGTTCGATACATGATGAATGTTTGAGGACGTGTCTGTGCTCCGTTCGTGGTCCGTCGCGACTGTTCGACGTCGTGTGCTGTGAGAAATATATGGGGAACGGTGAAGGTTCGAGGCAGTCAATTGAGGTTTTTTTTCTTCACGTCACGTGTGGTATTTCGTAGGTGTCAATGGCACTGCACGAAGCAACGCGAAATTGTTCGAAGTAAAATGATTGAGAGTTGTAGTAGTGTACGCGATTTTCTTATTTTGTGGTTTAAGAGAGGAAGAAGCAGAACAGTCGAGAAAAAGGAATTTATCTCCGTTGATTTCTTAAATTAATTGGTAATCAATGGAAGAAAGAGGAGTTGTTTAAGTTTGACGCTATTTTAATTTCGTTTGTCCAAGTAGAAAGTCGATATTCAAAGTTCAATACTTTGTAGCACAACTATTTCCTATTTGCAAAAATATAGACTAGGAAAGGAAAGCAAGAGAGAACCTTTGAAACTATGAACTTCCACGACGTAAGATATAATTTCTCTCTTTGATTTCTTAAACTAATTCGTAATCAATGGAAGAATGAGGAGGTTTTTAAGTTTGAGTGACGCTATTTCCATTTCGTTTCCGATATTCAATACTTTGTAGCATAACTATTTTTCACTTGTACAAATAAAGACCAGAAAAGGAGAACAATTTACAACCTTTAAAAATCAAACAGATGTAAGTCATATTTTCGTAAAGGTAACAACAGCACGCCGTAACATTTTGCATTAGAAAATTTTCCAATTAGATTCAGTTTATAAAATAATAAAGTGCTTTTCTTCCAAACTATCGTGGATTTTGAAACTAGCCACGTGTATTATGTATTTACCCAAGCAAACAAGAACATAGGGTCCACTTCGAAAACCGGTTAGGTCACCGGTACGACTTTTCGTAAGATGGAAAAGGATAATTCGGCGAAGGCAGTGTGTACTTCATTTACTGACTCATCCGTCGGCATGATTTTCACCGTCTAATCAACCCTTTCTTCTCGATCGTCACGGAACCGACGCCGTTTTAATGAAATTTTGGAAAATATAATATTCGACGAACGGAGCACAGACAGTCGGTTAAAAGCAAAATATGTTTTCACATATAGCATGATTAATAAATGAAAATTATCGTTTCACAAATTGAGATCACTCAATCGCTAAGAAGTCAATGCAGTTCTCTTTAATGGAAAGAATTCGATTGCTTGAATTTTTAAGTATAAATAGAAAATAATAATGATTATTAAAATAAGTGATATCAATTTTTAGGAGCGATGGTGTAATCATATCGAAATACGCTCAATTTATCGACACTTTAGCAGTGCACGTTCCATGCGGAAATCATCCTAGTATTATTTCATTCATTGTGAATATTTGTAATAATTTTTGCATCCTTTTTACCATTTGATAGTAATATTGACCACTACGAAGACATTCGAATAAAGTTTCAGAGAAACCGATTTTCAAGTGCAATAACATTAGAATAAAATTGCAAAAATACACATTTGAAGGTGCAATCAACGTTGCAACTCCACAAGGCCATTCTGAACTATAAAAAACCATAAAAACTGTAAAATACGTTGGCCAGCGGTAGCATGTTTCACGATTTTTAACTTGCCTGTATGAGTATATAACCTGCGAATTTTTATGAAACATAACACTTTTTAACGTAATTTATGAAGACAAGAGCAAATGTGGAAATTTCTTTCTTCATTTAAGTATCTTATTCGGTTCGGAATAAAATAGAAAACTCGCTGCATCTGGCGAAAGTTTTGTCTTTTATTGTATTCCATAGAGTTATATAGGCTCTAAATGTAAAGTAAAAACTCTAAAGTCGCATCGAAGACAGTCACATATCACTTCCGCGAGCCGTCGCGTCGGACGTCGACAATCGGCGATCGAGGGAGAAGCAACTTTTAGAACAACGGTGAAACGTAAAATACAACCGTGATATTCATGGTCTTAACATATTGATAATTAATTACCGTCGTGGATGCAAATTTGTTCGTTCCTGTGTTACTATTTCTAAAGGCGGTAACTTGTTTCTTTTTCTAGTGGATCTCAGGCTTCGTTCTCATAAACGACGTTACTTTTTGTGTTTCTCTCTGATATATATCCGAACGTTTCACGACATAATTTTAAATAACTCTTGGACTTTAGTGGTAGCCTTTGACGATGCAGCCAATTTCGAGCAGAATCTGTTGATTAATTATGCAAATTGAAGAAAGAAAAATTTTAACAACGTCTGTACCATACAAAAAAAACACCATGGTGGTCTTTTTACATCTTACCGCGAAACATTTCGGCTAAGACAATATTGATAGTGTTCAAAAATGTATATAATGCAACGTAAAATGTAGTAGGTACCTGCACCTTAATATATTATTTTCCTTATCTAACGTTTGTAAATTTCAGAATCTGTCTGAAATATAAAGTTTCTTCATTTGCATGTAGCGAAACTCACATTATCATGAATTTACTATGCCTCATTAATTCAGAATCCGTTAAAAGAATCTAACATCCAAAAGCTGTTGACATAGTAAAGCAGAAAGTTTCTAACTATAAATAAACAAGATTGCGACTCTTGATTTAGAAATCAATTTTTCAAGCAATAATTGCAAAATTTGAATAAGTATATGTATGTGTCAAAGTCACCGATTCATAATTTATTCCACAATTTAATTTCGCCCAGAAGAAGTTACTGCTGTTAGAAAAGTGTCGTTAAGTAAATCAAAAATGCTTTTACAGCTCTCAGTTTCCGATAAAGCTATATTTTACGCAACGAAGTCATAATGGCCTCTTGAGCAATCGTGAGACAGTCTCCAATTTTATGGATTTATACAGAAATTGTCTATAATTTGGCGTTTTTTACATTTGAACTTGGCAAAATCAACAGAAACGCGGTAACACTGTCGCGTAACGTCTTCATTCCAAGAAGGTCGAACGAAATGTTTCCGACTTTTCGCACCTTACCTTGCGAAGTTGCAACGTGTCACCTTCACCGTGTATTTCTGACGAGGACGAGGGGAAAAGTCACGAAAGGAACGAGGTAATCCTCACAGATCCGCAAACATCACGCCCCTTTCCACCGTACGAGCCACATTGAAGATCGGTCTGACCCATAAATCAGCCTGAAAATAATGCTACCACCGCATGGAACGTGCGCGCGAGCGATCGCGTGAACGCGCTCGAACGAGCGAGCAATAAAATAAATCTTCGATACTGGTGGATACTAATGGATACCTTGTATGTAACGGCGGTGGTCTTGTTTTCTGTTCTGTTGTAGATGTGGGTGGCGGTGAGCGGGAGCTCTGAACCTCCTGCACCTTGACACACACACAATGCACACGCAACAACATCCAACATCATCAACAACAACAACAACAAAAATTTACAACATCAACAACAGTCCATAACAATAGACAATTAATAACCACGTACTTCTATCGGTCGATCGTTCTGTCATTTCGTTTTATTTTTTAATTTCTCTCTGTTGTTGTTCGTTCATTCGATGTCTCTTCTTGATCCCCGTTCACGACGACAACACGATCGATTCGCGCACCATCGTGTACCGCCACCACGAAATTCAAAAGTGAAATTAGCCCCCGCCCCAGCATGCCAAGCACTGTTATCACCATATTCTTTCTTTTGTCTTCTTTCTTTACTCATCCGCTACGATCACGTTGTCGCATTCTACTTTTACATGATTCTGCTAACACCAGCCCGCACGATAAAAAAAAAAACAAAACCCTGCCCGGTCCCTCTCGCTCGCGCGAAACCGGTGGAATTGATATTTCTAAAATGGGAGAAGAAGGAAAGTGAGAGGGGAAGCCGGAGTGTTTCCTTGGACGTGTAACTTTCCTCATCATCCGATTTTCTACGATCTTTGTTCCAGGAGCATACACTCTGTTCCCTACAAGGGCTCCAACGGCTACTCGAATGGCTATTCGAATGGCTACTCTAGGTACTAGAAGCCATCCAGCCAACTAATGTCCTAACTATCCCGTAGACACGCGTTTCTCTCTTTTCTGATTTAGGCTATTTTTTTTTTTTTTTTTTTTCTAATCGCGCGCGGTCCCGTCGACCAGTTCTTGGAATTTCCATCGGGACGTGGATTTCGTATGCACCAGCCGTTATCTTGCAAATAACTTCAGTGTTATTTCTTTGTCCAGCGGGTTTTGCAAACAAAATTCTGGAGGAACGATATTTCAACTACTAAATTATAACAGTGATCGGTAGACTGCGGATTTTTATTATGTATTTATACTGTTTGTAAGCCTGGAAGAAATGTTTCGGCGAGAAAAATTCAGTAACTCACAGTAGCATAAACATCTGCAGTGTATAAACAAATTTAGTTGAATGGAGATAGACTCTTGTAAACGAATTTTATGCACTAACCGACAAAAATGAAGAAATACGATACTTTTCATTGAAAACATATTTATTTCTTCTATTTATACATAATTAATAAATGTCGATTTCACATATTCTCTGTTTTTCACCGAGTAACGGTATCCATTTTATTCAAACATTTACACACGCATGTGATAATATGTTACACAGTGTGTGATTAATTGCTTTGTGTCTTAACACTAGAACTATCGAAGCCGTAGAAATGCCGGAATTCAATTTTGTTAATTTACCATTACTGAAATCGTAAAAATACTTTCGTTGATATTCATGGCGACATTTAATTCATTGTATATTTTACATTACACTATATTATGCTATAGTATATCATATAGCACAAATATTAATATATTATGAAATTTAATTTATTATGCATTCAACGCACGGTAGTTCTAGTATTAACTTTTGTCGGTTAGTCTATATACAATTTGTATGCATTCAGTGCTCATTTTTGTCTGAAATTTCGTTTCCACCATCTGTGACTTGAAAATATATGCATTACTTCCGCATATTTAGAAAAAAGTGTATTCAATGACTGATTAGTAATTAATGCTTGCACTTACGAGGAGGAAGTATAATTTTTCATCGCATTAGAGTAACTGTAACATTTAAAAAGCTTTCTATTAATTGAACGAATATTGGAATGTAAAATATTGCCGTATCTATCAAAAACACAATTTTACATTGTTTATTTAAATAATATTCTTAAATTTTTTTGAAACACTTTCTCGGTCGTTTCATTAGCAACCATAATACAAATCAATGAAACGATTACATCCTGCACGAAATTCGAAAAAAAAAAAAACATTTACAAAGACGTTCAGTAGTTTCAACAAATACAGCAGGTATGCTCTACGTCGAAATTTCAAGAAATCCTCGACGTAATCACGCGATCATCCTTTCCGACGTCTGTCATTCGGTTCTCCGGCGATCGATCGTCGCATCGGCTCAGAAAACGGCTTTGCAACAACGAGCCTTTCCCGTTGTCGCGAGCGAAACAGTTCCAGTAGATTTTGATCGACTCCTTACCTATAAAACCTCGCTTCTCGCACCTCCATTCCGCTTCGTCGAGTTTCTCGCTTCTGCCATTTTCCTGTACTCCGTGCCTAGACACCTAGACGTTAGCCACAGCAAGTCATGGATACTATCCACTGCGACAAAAGACATCGAGAGACAGAAAGAAAGCAACAACGAAGAGCTCTATCTGAATGGTGCAGCGAAGCCAGAATTCGTTGACCCGTTTCTGAAGATCCAGTGGACTTGGCCTCGATGAGGATCATGACAGCAATGCAACTGCAAGATCATTGGCCAAACGAATGAAACTTTACGCCACACTTCCTGAAAATTACTGTCTCACAAATTTCTGGACTATAATTCTAACGCAATACGTCTAATGACGTGAAAGGACACCGAGAAGAAAGACACTTCGCATAATTGTTCCAGTTCCACGACGAATTCCGCGTTTTGTAAGACACTTCGACGGAGTTTCATTACCCAAGCGCCGCAGAGAGGAAAGTCGTGTTATTAACGGTTCGGCGACGAAGCAAATCCGTGCTAGACAGAGAAATCAGCCGCCGTTATCAGTAACACGTTCGAATACACGAACTATCCAACCAGTTCCCCGTTATCTCGAAAAATCTACTCGTTCACGGTTCCCACTTTCTTCCGCGGCGCGGCGACCGTAACAGCTTAATCATGGAAACCAGGCCCGACATCGACGTAGTTCAGTCCGAGCGTCCATGGGAACGGAGCAATCGGGCCAAGGTCGGAACAAAAAGGACTCGGACATCCATCTGTGTGTCATCCGTGTACGTTTTCGAATCCGATCGAGTTCTGAACACTGAGAAATCCTAATTCGAGTCGCTAAATCTGGATGAAAGTTTCTCAGTAAATCCTCCGCAAAACGTCACCAATTTCGTATATTCTATCAGGCCAGAAGACACTTGAACCAGAAATCAGTTATTAAATAATAGCTACAAGAAACCCAGTCTAGTGCCAGAGGATATTGTAATCGACTTTTAAAATTAAAGGGGGACTGAAAACTATGGTTTGGGATCCACGAGCCCCGGAAGCGGCTAATTCGTATTCAAGGATAGAAGATAAAAGGCACCGTGTCAACGGTGTTACGCGATAACTCCAGGCTATAGGTCCATCCGTGTAATGATCCGCTTCAAGGATGGCTGTTGAGGACTCGATGCTACCGTGGGACCACGCCCAGGCCTGAAGCGACGTCTTCCTAGCCCACCTGAGACAACGTGTTTCTGGGCAACCTGAAACAACCTCTTTCTGGCCCACCTGGACCGACCGTTCTGGCCAGCTTTGGACGTTTCAGTTCCATCGAGACCCGTTGGATATTGGCTCGCGTAGAGGAATCAGAATCGTAAGACAGCAAGACCTCCTGAGAGCAGGCGACCTTGGGCAACGTGAAAGAAGGCGGGTCCGCTGACGCAAACGCCAGTCAGCTGAGATCGGTTTCCACTGGATGAACCGTCGGATCCGCGTGTCTCCTCGATTTCGTCCGTGGACACGAGTTTGCTCGATCAGAACGGTATGATGGATCGATTCCGCGCATTTCTCGGGCATCCGTAGGTGTGACCGTGTCCCTTCTCGTGCCCCCCCCCCTTTCTTGCGACCTTCTCCAGGTACCAGCCGGACATCGGCGTGGAAAAAGTCCTCCGAGAAAAGCCGGTCACGAACGTTTCTCGCGAGGGAACTGCGATGACGTGGAGATTTCGAAAATTAATAAAGTCCGTAAATTTTGTTTCGAGATGATCGAATAACGTTCGCGTTTAATACACTGCTCAAAAGAATTAGGGGATCGATATTGTGGGCCTTCAGTTGCGCTAGAAGTTCGCTGGAAGTCGGAGAAATGTTACAAGCTTGATAAATTCATATTTTCTCATACAATACCTACCTTATATACCTACGTCTTTATAAAAAACGTTTCAAGAATTACTATTCGTCATATTGACGGACGCAACGTCTCTAATGTGTGATCCCCTAATTGTTTCGAGGAGTGTAGTTTATCGAATGTTTATGTAATCCTCGCCGCATGTTACAGAACTCGCTCATAAACACTCGTTTTGACGTGCATGTAAACTGCCGCTCATAAGTATTCGGACACTTGGACTGTAGAATGAAATATTATTTTTTTTTTAAATCATATATCAGACGCCGCTTTTAGTAGTTTATACTAGTACAGCCGTTGTTCATCGAGCTTTAATATCCCGTAAATAATATTCTTTTCAGACATTCAGGAATTCCGTAACGCCTTGTAACATTTACTGCATATTCGATAAGTGTCCTAATACTTGTGAGCTGCAGTATATATTACCTGAAATAGTCAAGATTTTCTCGCCTGTTTTTTTCGATGCACAGGATACAAAGCTATCTTTACAGAAAATGTATTATAATTTATGTGCCGAGTAAAAAGAAAATTGTGTCTGGCGATCTCCTCACTTTTTGGGTAGTATAAACACGTCGCAACTTTCGACCGGCTCGTTAAATTGAACTCAAAAGAGTTTTGCAAAAACGTTTGCAACGTAAATTTCTTCCCCGAACATTCGCAATCTGCCGTTTCTCACGAGCGAATCCGATCACACCGGAACAGTCTAAACGATCATTTTTCCTTTCTATCGCCGAACCCTTCGATCAGGCCGCGGATTTCAAGTCTCTCTCCTGTTGTAAAAAGGTCCATCACGCTTTCTGAAAGGCAGTGATATGCATGTTGCATTAAATTTTAATATATTCTGCAACTCACCCCCTCCCTCGAGCTGTATATTTTTTTCGTTCTCTATCTTTCTCTCTCTCTCTCTCTCTCTCATTCTATCTTTCACGTTTAGTAGGCGCGTGCGCGATCGCGGGTGCGGCCGCGATCGAGAAATTCGCAGAGAGGCTAGTTTTATAGTCTCTCCTCGTTTGTAAATTATAAACGGCGTTGACACGCGCGGCGTAGCGCGCACGTAATGTACCGCGGATGAGAATGCAAAAAGTAATTGTTCGACGGAACTTTCGACTTTCGCGGGCTGCGGCGTCTCGATGGCGATCGAGGTCCAGCCGATCCAGCCCGATGCGCGACGAAAGTCTGGCGGCGATGATTCCGGGGGAGCGTAGACCGCCGGTTTCGATCTTGTGGTGTGTCACGTTCCTCCTTCCCCCGAATCGACCACCCACCCCCCTAATCCGTTTCTATCGAATCAATGGAAAGAAAAGGAAGTGTAC